AGAATGGTTAAGATATCTGCACGCACAAAGTACTCTATACCTGCCCTAGAATCCCCTTTTTAAAGAATAATACGCTTAGCAGTGGTCAAAATTAAAAGAAGTCCAGCAAAGATTCCAGTTTTTGTAATGTACGATGACATGGGATAAAATAGAAGAAAGAAAAAATGCACAAAAATCGAAACAGACTAAAAACCTTTTTCATGTTTGTCTCTGTAAACTCCCATGGCAAGTCCGGGTTGTTATCAGGACTGTTAAGGTGCTGCAGACCAAAAATCACACACAGAAAAATGAGGGTCCAACCAGCACAAATTCATATCGAAAATAAAGCACTTTAAAAAGAAAATGCTAATTCAAACTCACATAATTGAGCGCAGTTGAAGACGATCGCGAAACCTGATGAGCCAAAAAAATCACAGATTTCAAAGCTGAGATTCATCACATGTAATCGGGATGGGGCAGCTACGGAACTGGAAGGAAAGGAGTGAAAATTGAAACAGACCTGTGGAAAACCGCCGATGGAATGGCGGATCTCCGCCAATCGTTGGGCGGCAAGGCGAGCTAGCATTTTCACTCCCGGGTAATGATGCGAGCTGCTTCACCGGTGCTGTGTGACTTTTGGATTCGGGGCACGGGGTCTAGCTTTCACCGGATTCGATTTGGGCCAATTGGGTCATCAAAATTGATTACTCCTTCCTCTTTTTAAACTTTTTAATGTTTGAAATCTTTTATCAAATTTTATAAATCAAGACCGCAAATTAAAAATATTTAATTTTATTTAATATGTAATTATAACAGAACAACATTTATTGTAAAATATACTAGTAGTTTTCATTTTGAAAAAAATTAGCAAATCAAATTTTTATACTCTGTAATATATATTAGAAAATGCTTGGGGAACCTCATTTGGGGTATACCACAGCAAAAACAGACACACACACATTAAGTATTTGTATATGCCTATTTTTAGGTTAAATTTTAAAAATGGTACCTCAACTTTCACGAAAATTTTGATCCAGTACCTAAACGTCAAAACCTTTCAAAAAAATTTCTGAACTCTGAAAACCTTTAACAAATGGTATCTGAAGCCGGTTTTCACGTAATCAACAGGTCATTTGGGCCAAATTTTAATTTTTTGTATTTTATAATTTTTAAATTGACTCCGTTTCTTTTTCTTCATTTCCCTCCCCCACCCATTCTTTGTCTTCTTCTTCTTTCACCCCTTTTCTTCTTCTTCTTTTTCACCCCCTTTTATTCTTCTTCAAA